GAGTATAGATCAGCACAAGTGTGTGCCAGCATATATGAGACTCTGGAGTCTGAGTCCCCAGTGCCACAAAAGTTAGAATTGAACAGACTAAAATTAAATGGAGTTGGAAGCTTGCCTAACCCCTTCTCCCTAAGTCAGTTGTCTGCTTTACTTTGTAAGAGTTCTCTAAGTTCATCAAAGACAACTCTAGCTCTTCCCTCGGTCAGTCTGCACAACAGGACACAACAAGAACCAATATATGACAGGACAGACAAGTCAGTTCCCTCACTGCAACCTCTGCACGCTGTCATGACAGTCGTGCTATCAACTTCAGCACTGCTGCTTTATCCACCCATGCCAGCACCTGGGTGCTCAGACTTCTCAGATTTACACTTCTAACTCCCAGTCTTGGATCCGGCACACAGACACCACAAGCTAGTTCATATTCAGGACACACGAATACTTTCTGTGATTCCATATAACAATTTCCAGCTTCAGGCACTAATAGAAATATCTGACTTAAGATTATTTTCATTTTTTAATTATGTAAATATACTCTGAATCCCCAATTCTTTTACTACAATCAACCTTACTTCTCCCAAACTACCCATTCACAGCATACCATTTCTTTAATGCCTACAGCTGAACTGAGCTCAAAGACGTCTGCTACCCTGAACGTGCACGTCAAGAGCCTACTCACTCCCCTTCCCACTGTTCCCGCTGCTCCACACCGACTTTCCCCTGCTACTCCCTTGACAGCTAATTTTAAATTTACATAACTGCCAATCCTAAGTATGGCTGAAGAACAAGATACATTTGGTAAATCATGTCTCCCTGGCAAGGATATTTATCCTCACTTTGACAAGAATTATACTAAACTACATATACTTCCAACAATCAGAGTTCTCACGTTTCTAAAGTCCAGTATAACAAAACTTAAAACTCTGGGCATCTAGAAACCATTGTGGTACCTGGAATAAACGACAGGGATGGCTACATGTGTTGTCTATGTTTCACACAGCCTTGCTAAGAACACCGAGTCCGAGAATTTGAAGATGAGAGGTGCCACATGGGACAGCCTGGGAATCCTGAGCTAAATCTAAAGCCTGGCTGCACACTAGACTCTCCAGCTCCCAGAGAAGAATGACAGCAAAAGGACATGGTCATGCATTCTATAAAGGCATGTATAAAAATGTCAAATGCCCACCTCAGGCGGCATCCTCTGGGTGTGGCAAGGAGATGCAACCGAGAGACACACAACAGAGGGCTTCACACATTCAGAATATCTCATTTCTTAAGCTGGGTGCCATGCTGATACACAAATATTTTGTAAATTGGCTCTCACTAAGTTTTAGATGCATAAAATTTTGTAATAAAGAAAAAGAATAAAAGGAGACAGCACATGATAAAATCCTGAGAGGCATCTCGGGGTAGAAAGAAGGACCCAGAGAAGACGCTTTATAAAGCAGGCCTTGACAGAACATTAAGACAGAACACAAGAAAATGATAATGGCAATAACAACAATCTTTTCCTTTTTTTTTTTTTGAGACTGTCTTACCCAATAGTCCAAGGTGGCAAGGTACTCACTATGTACAGGCTGGCCCCAAATCTACAGTGATCTGCCCTTCTCAGCCTGTGTGCTAAGATCACAGGCACGCGACACCACAACCAGCTAACACAAACTTCTCTAAAGGAACAACATGGACCAACGTTAAACTGGGAGCACCCATGGCTTACAGCCTGAATAAAGAACACCAGGAAAGCTTTATGAGGCCAGGTTCACCTTGTCGCATAATAACAGAGGGACTTAGATTACATGGCAGAACCCAGCCCCATGCCCGACGCTCTACCTCTAATGGAGGAGGAAAAGCAAAGGAAGCGACACACAGGACAAACTGAAGCAAACTGTGTTCTATGGAGTGTTGGTTCTACAAGACAGCAAGGAGGCAAGGGTCTGGAATGCAGGTCCCATGCCCTGCCACTATCCCAGATACAGCTCTTCGGCTGTTAAAATGTCTCAACTATTAAACAATTTTTGAAAAGTACAACACACACTTGGCCAGTTCAGAGGTACCGCTGCAATCCCTGTGTGCCGTGACACTCTGAAACACAGCAGTCATCTTATCAATGAGAAGTGGAGAGAAAAAAATTAATACACAAACTTTTAAAGCATAAAGGGCTAGTCCCACATGAAATAACCAAAATGTCAACTGAGCAGCAGCAACTGGTCATGTGGGCTTGGGCAGGGGAAACAAACACAGCACCATGAGAACACATTTGAATGCTCGGGTAGCGGGCGCTACTCCAGGCAGAAAGGATGCACGGCACCCTCACCAAGATGAAGAAAAGGTGAGCAGAGGGTCCAGAGGCTGCAGAAAAGATGACCACTACGTTACAGGATTATAAAAGGTACCACTCTACGTAATAATGGACTACACCACCTTAGCAGCCCATCAGACTAAGGATTTTGGCACTCTTACTTAACCAAGTTACTTAATCTCTCTGAGCTTCATTTATGAGTAAACACAAGCTAACAATGACATAGTACTAATACACTATGAAACACTTTACTAAGTGCTTTTGACAAGCGAGCCCGTTTAATTCCCATGATAGATTTTTACTGGCGATGACATTTGAATTTGGAACTAGTGTAAGTGGTAGGATTAGGATTACTATTTCTCAAACTGACTAACTAAAGGAGGAGGATGTACCGATCACATTACATAATACTGTTTCAGTCAATGACAGACCATAAGGTCGAGGGTGCATAAACCTTCTCCGTTGCTTTGTACAAGTACACAGACACATGCACAGCCTAGTGAGTCTCAGAAGAAGAAAAAAAAAGCCCCAGTCACAATGTTTAAATTTCCTGGCAAACTATACCACTTCAAAAATGGCAGCTATACTCTATTATTAGACTGCGATGATCAAAAGAGCAGCACAGAAATTCCCCGTCAGTGACCCCCGGCTTCTATCAGGCAAACCTGTTGTATCTTCACCTATATATCTATATGTTTTCTGTAACCCGGTCTGCTCCATAGAGTTGGTGTGAGCATAAAGATCGTGAATCTGCAAATGCTATGAAAAACACTGAGATATTAAGATACAAAAGATTAGCATCCCATATCCTTTGCAAAATATCTCAGTAGTAGGTAAGGGCACTTGCCACCAAACCAGACGACCTGAGTTCAAGCCCCAGGATTCACATTGGTGAAAGGAGAGAGGCAACTCCTCCAAATTGTTCTGACTTACACATAAGACATGGGCTTACATGCACAAGAGTGTACACACACGAGTGCCACACACACACACATGCACACACGCATGCAAGCACATGCACACACGCACTGGTGGGAAACGAGGACACTAAATAAACAAAACATAATTTTTTTAATAAAACTTGCTTTCCTGGGCAAGAACTATCTATCCTTCTAGTTCCGGCTACTCCTGTGTAAAAGGCGGGAATTCTTCAACCCATCCAAACTAGCAACACAGGAGGGGAGGAAAAAAAAGAGAGCTAAAAGAATTGTATTCCTAGATTAAAATGATGAGTCTCCGAAAAAAAATGTAAAGCTAGAAATAAGTCTGTTTTATTGGCAACCACCACTTTCTAAAGTATAAACCACCACGGAACTTATCACACCAAGCACAACTTCTGATGGTCGGAATTCACCGATGTCAAGTGCATGTATTCTCTTACAGCTATACTGAAACTGACAATTTACAACAGAGCTAATCAATAAAGAGGTTCTACTTCGATTCAGTCATTCAAGTCGGCCTATGCTATGGTTTCAGACACACACACACACACACACACACATCCCTTACTGCCCTTTCTTTCTTACAGAAAGAAAAAACTAAGTTTCATGTTTTCTTCTATGTTACTGGTGGGGAGGGGAGTACCTGGTGAATCCTAGCCGACAGGCACCAATAACATGTTATAAAGAATCCATCAACCGACTTGCTTCCAGGGCTCAGATGGATAGCCTGTCCCTTCTGGGAACCTGTCCACAGCCTCCCTTTTACTTGCGCGTGAACAGATGGTTTCCAGGCCCCAAGGCTCACGTATCTAATCACACAATTCAGACTTGTTCTCAAAGTCCCCACCTTTTTAATTGTTCCATGCTCATGAGTCTGACACTTCGCATCTAAAGATCTCTGGCTATCAGAGCACAAGAAGTCTACTCTTCACCACACGGCTCTCTAGAGAGAGCTGTGCAAATTAAAAATGGAAGAGTGAGGTTCGATGTTTTATCCAGCATCAAGCAATTAATTGATTCATTCTTGGGGCAGAGCTCGTTATGAACTTTTATCGATGGGCACTTCCTGAGCTTCCTAAGATCGCTGAAATCATTAGTTCAAACATGCTGTACACATATGCATCCAACATGTCCAAGATTAAACATAAACAATACATAGCATACCAAAGTGCCACTATTTTTACATGCAAAACTGTATGAGGGAGGGGTTCTGACTTAACATTCCTCCAATCTTGTATCCATAAATTCTTTAGAACTTGAGAGGGAGAGAAGCACCTGTCATTGCGACAATATTCATAGTGTGTTGCATTCTGCGTGACTATTAATATATTTAATTCCTTAAACTGTAAATAAGCAATCCGTCTTCTGAAGGTGAAGGGTTTATTATATTATGAAGAACTTGACCAAAAATAAAAAATTAAAAGGAGAGAACGAAAGAAAAGCGTGCACTGATGTCTTCGCCCTAAGTCTCCAGGTTCTGTGAATGTGCCACTCTAACCCTCCTAAGCCCCACAAGCGGCGGGGAGGCCAGCGCTGGCCACTCGACTTGCGGCGCGCCAGACCCCGTCAGCTGTGGGCAGCGGAGACTCGGTGTCCCCTCGGGGCCCCGGGCCTCGCGGAAGGACGCGAACGGCTGGGCCGAGGGCGCCAGGGCCAGGCTCCGCTCGGCGCCCAGCAGGCGGGGACAGGGTCGCAGCAGGCCTGGCCTAGCCGCCCCCGCCCCGCGGCTTCCGTCCTCATCCCGCTCCCGCTGTCATTACCTCTTGGGCGCCGGCGGCTGCTCCATGGCGGCCGGTGGCAGAGAGAGGGGTCGAGTGGACCGTGAGAGAGGTAGGGAGGAAAGGAGCCTGGGAGCAACCGGCCGAACACGGGGGAGCACACCGGGAAACTCCCGGGAACTCGGACCAACTTTCCCGTAACTCCGTGGCGGATCTCCCTCCCGCTCCAGAACGCGGTTCCTCCCGGCCGCCCCGCCCCTCCGCCGAGGCCTGCGCTAGGAGTTTGGGAAGAGCCAAGACAGTGGAGGATGGGCGGGGCCGAGCTCAGCCGAGCGGGGGGCATGGGCGGGGCCGAATGCAGCTGAGAGGGAGTGGGCGGGAACTAGTGCGGCCTGGAGAAGGTGGGCGGGGCCAAACGCGGCCGAAAGCGAGTGAGCCGGGCCGAACGCGGCCGAGCGGGGGTGTGGGCGGGGCCGAAAGCGGCCGAAAGCGAGTGAGCAGGGCCGAATGCGGCCGAGCGGGGCTTGGGCGGGGCCGAAAGCGGCCGAGAGGGAGTGAGCGGAGCCAAACGCTGTGTGGAGGGTTGGGCGGGGTCTAACGCGGCGGGGAGGGGTGGGCGGTGTCCTCCGAGGAAGGCAGCCTGGATGAGGTCGCAGCTAGCTCAGAGAAAGAAGCATGGAGACCTTCCCCGCCCAAGACCTGCTCTGCAGGAGGAGGGGCGCTTGAGGTTTGACTCATTTCTCTGGATTCCTCAAGGATATATGCCAATCTTCTTGTAAATACGTTTGAAGTATAACTAACTGCCCACACTTCCCTCGCTCGTCTACTTATAATTATTAGCTGTTCTTACTAGTTATGTTCCCCTAGCCACCTAGCCATTTGCTATTTGTAACTCCAATAGCTGTGATACTTCTGGAAATTCTGGTTGATTTTGATTGTGTACAAGCACAATAATTACAGTCTAATGACATAAAATATTTACTGCAGATCTCTCAGTGCACAACTTAGAGCGCCAGGTCCTGCTCTTGACCTGTTGGGTAACCTGGGAAACTGACCACTAGTTAGGGAGCTTGGGAAAAGATAAAAGAGAAGTTCCTTTCTTTTATCTTCCTTTCTTTCTTTACTACTTTCTTTCTTTCGTTTTCTTTCTTTCTTTCGTCCTTCTCCCGGACCCCAACAGCCCTACAACCATTGTAATTTAACCTCTTACACACTCATTTGTTTGTATACTATTTCAACTTAAAATACACACACACTATCTCACAACTATACAAATCAGTTTGCTAATTTTTATTAGAATATTCTTAAATGAAGAATTGTTCAAGGTTTTCTTAGAGGTTAGAGCCAAGTGTATGGATTGAATATTGGTCAAGAGGAATATCAGTCCGAATTCTGTGAACAAGAGGAAGTAGTACACAACTGTAAATCTGTTTCATCCATTCAATATCTACCTCTGACGGTTCAGAACGGACAGGACAATAGCAACAATTACAGAAACTAAGTCATTGAAACGTCACTATGAGGCCATGAGTCAGTGCCACACAGTCCCAATGACTGCAAAGGTGTGTAGAGAGAATAGACCTACAAGGTTTCCTGCACACACACACATGTGCCATGGCACCCTGCACCGCATGCTCACACGTACACAGTAATGTCATTTTAAACATCATTTCTGGGAAGGACTTTTAAAACTATCCCATTCACCTTCCATTCTACTCACTTCCACACCAAACTCACTGTTTCCATGTCTTCAGCAGAAAGCACCTTGAGAAGTTCATTTTGTGGGTTTTTTTTTTAAACCTATCAGACTTTAAATTGGACTCAACTTGTCGTCCTTTTTACAGCAGGTCCCTTATTGCCTTACCAACATCGTCCTCCAGGAAGTCATTCCCAGCCCAACCACTAGAACCCTCACTGGCTACTCCCAGGGGGGTCGGTGATGGCTGGCGTCTGTATGATGCTCTGTGGCGAACTTTTCCTTCTCATCCATCCCAACCTCAGTGTGAGTCATCTGAAAGTCAAACCATATCATTTACTCTCTCTGCTTCTCACAGAAGCAAGTGCCTGACTGGACAGGTTCCTTTTTCTAACTCGGGTTCCTTATCCTTCTGTTCCTGTACTTTCTAGTGAATGCTAACCATCAGTGTGCGTCCCAGACCACTGTGCTCTGCTGATGATAGACACGGGAGGAAGTGGAGAAGAAAGAATGCATTGTTTACTTACGCCTCTAGCCTTCTAGTGAGGACATCTAAGGCGTTCATCTCAAGACAAACTAGCAACTTCCCTCCGTTGCCCTTGTCCCTCTGGGTGGTTTGAATGAGAATAGCTCACGTGGGGTTTAGTGGCTCCTGGTTTTATCAGATTATAGGCCCATCCAAGGCATCTAGAGACATCCTCTAACTTTCCTCATCAAAAGAAGCAATGAGGAGGGAGTTTCTTGTCTCTCTGAGTTATAACCTAAGAGCCCCACAATCATATATACAGTTAATGATAAGATATTCAGAAGCCTATATCTGTAGCACGGATTTTAGTTGGTTTTAATAATAAAAACTCAGAGTCAAATATAGGGCCAGATATAATGCTGAAGATTAGAGAAGCCGAGAGGTCAGCTGCCCGAGAATTATTTTACCTCTACTAGTACTCAGACCAAAGGGGCAATCCTGTCCTCAGACTGCATCTCCAGGCTTCATCTGTCTTCACCGAACCTCAGACTGCCCTGAGCTCCTGTCTCCTCCTACCCTATATCCCTCCCTCCACCCAACCATATCACTCCTGTCTCCACCTCCCTAGTGCTGGGGTTAAAGGCATGGGATCCCAAGTGCTGGGATCACCTTTGTGTGAGTTCTGTTTCTCTTTTAGACAGATTCAATCTTGTGTAGCCCAGGGTGACTTTGAACTAACAGAGACCCCTCTGCCTCTGTCTCCCGAGTCCTGAGATTAAAGGTGTGTGCTACTTCCTGGTCTCTAGTGTCTTAGCTCTGCACTGTGATCTTCAGGCAAGATTTGTTAAAACATAAGCAAAATATTACCACATATATCACTAAGTATGTCTTACTATTTCTCTGGGTATCTCTCCTCTTAAATTATGTATTTAAAATCTGTGTAACAAGAGACCTCTGCAGGTCTGGGTGTGAGTTAGGGACATCGAGGGAGTAGACCAGAACCAGAGACCTTTGTGGGACCAAGTCCAAGCCAGAGATCTCCACAGGAACAGACCCAGACTAGGGACATTTATGGAAACAGGACTGAGCTCCTCCAGCCTTTTTTAATGGACACTGATCCCATTAACGAAGGCATATCCTAATTATTTTCTGAAAGCCTGCCTCATAGATGTGACAAGACACCTAGCAAACGTAATTTAAGAAAGGAAAGATCTGATTGGTAGTTCAGGGGTGCAGTAAATCCTGAGAGGCGAATCATGACCCATCCAAGGTGTGGGCGAGGAGAAGGACTGTACTGTGGATGTGAGGAAGGGTACAGCCAGAATCCTTGGGAGAGTCCAAACTAAACCAGGCTGAGAGAGGAAATGAGAGAGGGGGGAAAGCCAAGGGATAAAGAGGCCAAGCAAGCTAAGAGAGGAGCCAAGAGAGTCAAAAACAGCAGGTTTATATAGGAAAGAGAAGCTGGGGGAAGGGAAAGCAGAGGGTGGGGCAGGGTGAGATGTTCTGGGAAGGGACACAGGTACTGAGTGAGCCTAGAGGCTAGTCTAGGCTTCCCTATGCTTGCACTTAGCCATTTGTACTGGGTTACTTTGGGACCTGATAATAGGGAAGGCAGGGTAGCCCTCACTGGCCTGCAACTCACTTGTAGCCCAGGCTAGCCTCCAGCTGAATAGTGACCTTCCTGCCTCAGCCCCAGGTGCTGGGATGACAGGCATGAGCCACCAGACCTGGTCTCTAAGTTGTCTTGAAAAGTAAGCATCGATGGCTTGTAATTAGTTCATATTTATTTGAAATATGGGAAGTGATTTTTTTTATAGAAAAAAAATAGATTTAATGCTAGAAAAATGTAGACCTTCAGTGTGCATCATTTCCTTAGTGCGGTCATTTACCAAGTCTTTACCGTGATTCCTAGAAGGAAATAAATACATCGTATATTTCGACTTAGAAAGTCAAGGCATGTTTCAGATATGAAAGGGGTTAATTTAATATTAACTAATCAAATTCATTAAGTATTAGCTGGGAAGGTACACTTGCAAGCTTCACAGAGCATTGTACCCTAGAGTAATGAAGTAGAGGAAAGTGCTAATGACTGGTAATGGGGGCCTGCTAACCCATTAGCGCGTAAGTTAACCAGGTTTTAAGAGTTCTCATCATTGTCGTTATCTGGAATCCGCAGATTATGTACCTATCAGGGGTTTTAACTTAAGAAGTTCTTAAAGTTTGGAATTGTCACTGTGAAAAATGACCAGTCTTCCCCACCCTGCCCTGCCACTGGGAAGACCACCCATGCCTTCACCACCCATCACTTACTGAGCTAAGAACTTTCTAGAGTTTTCTTCATTTTAAATATCTGATTTTTTTTCTAAATGTTTTCACTTTGGAAGTCATTCCCTGTTCACACATAAAGCAACATCCTTCAGGTCTAGAACGAGGACTATGAACCCCGAGTTGAAGGGAAGTAAAGTGGTATAAAAGGCAGAAAAAAAGTATTTCTTGCTTCACAGTTCTGAGATAAGAAATGTACATATGCCTCAAGACAGGATGAGCCCAAGACATTGGCTGTATTGTATTTCCAGTTGACTCCTGTCTGCGAAGATAAAACAACAACAACAACAACAAGTAACTTTCAGGGATTGTTATCAATGAATGTATCGATTATCTAGTGAGTACATAACACTTTTGCTGTGGTCCCTAAGGGCATTCAATAAAGGGTTAATTGATAGAAACCTGGAGTGGTGCTATTGAGAGGTTGAGGGATCTTTTTAAGGTTTTTTTTAAATATACAGTTTATTTAGTTTTATTTTATGTGTATTGGTGTGAGTGTGTCAGCGTCCCTAGAGACGGTTGTGAGCTGCTATGTAGGTGCTGGGAATCGAACCCCTGTCCTCTAGAAGAGACTCTAGTTCTCTTAACCACTGAGTCATCTCTGCAGCCCCAGAGTGGGCTTTTTAAGGGATGAGGTCCTCTAGCCACTGGTGGCACACCCATCGAAGGGACACTGGAGCCCTGACCCCTTCTTCTTTGTCTTCA